GGTCTGTTGGGATGGGATGCAGGGGTCTGTGGGGATGGGGTGCAGGGGTCTGTTGGGATGGGATGCAGGGGTCTGTGGGGATGGGGTGCAGGGGGTCTGTGGGGATGGGGTGCAGGGACTGCTGTGGGGATGGGGACAGGGTGCCTTCTGTTATCACTGTCTTTTATCACTTCACTGCACAGCCCTTTTGAAACTGCAAACAGCATGAGTTGGATGGGCGTGTAGTTGAAGTATTTGGATATTTCTCCGGGCAGCTTCCCACACCTAACTGAAATCCTAGCAGCTCACTAAGCAGACACAGTCACCGGGTTGAGTCTCTCAAGTGGGTGGCCCTGGTGCAGCAGTGAGTGACTTCCTTTCTCTTAATTGAGAGTTCAGCCCTGCTCCATCAGTAGCAAGAACAACCTCAGATCTGCTGCCCCGAGTGACAGTGAGAGGGCTTGGCGAGGTAAGAGTTAGGGAACTGCACGTGCCTCAACTACAGGTGCCTTGAATTCTTTACTCCTTTGTTTAGGGCCCCTGAGAGCTGGGCTCAGGACAAGGTGGCCTGGAAAAGAGGTGGGACCGGGGGCTGACTGCCCTGAGTCACACACAGTGGAGGAAGCTGTGGGCTAGGGCAGTAACGGGAGATCCTGTGTGCTGTTAGTATGGGTCTCCCATGGAGTAGACAAGTCCATAGACAGCTGTTGATTGACTCAGGGAGACACCAGGCATGCCAGCAGCACCTCCAGTTGAGGTCACTGTGTGACGATGACATACATGACGGACGGGCACAGCGGTCACACAATGGTCCTTTCCAACAACAGAGAACATGGTACACCATGGTGGGGACTTGCAACAGGGCCCTTCAACAAGGACACTGAGTGTATATGCAAAACCAGCTACGGGAGAATAACCAGGGACCCAGACAGACAGAGACCCGAAGCACAGAGCCAGAAGGTGATGGCCGTGTAGCTCTAAGGGTCACAGCGGAGTGGGAAGGACACCATCCAACTTCGGGGCCACAGAGGGAGAGGAGGGTGAATTGGCGGCTGGAAGCAGTGTCTAACCTGGCTTCTCAGAGAGGGACAGCAGCATCCCAGGGGTGGCTTGGAAGGAGCCCCCAACCCCAAAGCATTGAGAGTCAGACTGGAGCTGAGCACCCATCCCTTTTGGTAGAGGAGGTGAGAGAACTGTAAAGCATGGGGTCCCTTTACTCCTCTTCCACTCCGCGTTTCCTCCCCTCCACCAGAGGTTCCTTTTCTTCCCACGGAGTCACCCGCGGCCCACGATCCCCAACCCATGTATGTCCCCTCTTCCCAGAACCTCCCCCATGTGGGCTCCATCTCACCCCCTCCTGGCCTCCTAGAAGTCCTCTCATCTTCCCAGGGGAATCTTTCCTTTTCTGGGAGTTCCTTTCTCTCTGACATTGGCTTCCTTCTCTGGCCCTCCCTGCAGGGGCTTTAACCCACTGTGCTGGGTGCCCAGTCTCAAGTCAAGCCGGGCAGCTTGACTCTTTCCTTCAGGTGACCCTTTCCCTTCCGGCCGATCCCTCCTCCTGGACACCTTCTTTCTTCCCTGGGTACCTGAGGGTAGACCTCGAAATTCCTTTGCTTAACTTCCAGGAAGGGAGGGCATAGCCTGCTGGAGGGTCGTGTGTCAGGCGAACTGACTCTGGGGGGGTGACAGAGAGCCCATCCATGCAAAACCGGTCGCTTCCTCCTCTCTTGCTGGCCTGCGACAGTGTCCCTCGTCCCTCCTCCACCCACGCGCACATAGCCAGCGTTCTCACCGTGGGGCTGCCCTCAACCCTGCCAGACTTCAGCCGCTGTGTGACCCCGAGCCCTGGAACGCCATGCCTTCCCCCTGGGTCCCCAGCAACCCCTCTACAGGGTCCCCCACCCCCAGCCCCCAGCCCGGGCCTACCTTCTGGGAACTGCCTCTGCACCTTCCTTCATCCAGCTTGTGGGCAGTACTAGGCCCCTCCCTCTCAACTGTAACTCAATCCCAGCTCCCGCCTTGCAGGACACACCCGGGTGCTCTGTGCAGCATGGACGGGCTTTCAGAGTTAGTCAGTCAATAAATATTGACCAAGCCGTCTGGGGAGCCAGCCCTCTTCCCGTGGGCTGGTAGACTACTTTTTCGGGACCAGTGGGCTGAGAAGGCAAGGGGTGGAGGTCTGAGCTGGGCTGAGGTGATTTCTCATCTGGGAGCTCAAACGGGCAACTGGACCCCCCCCCCCCAGGGGTTGGGCTCCTTTTGGATTCAGGGGTTCAGACCACCATAGGGATATGAAGGTCGCGTTAGGAGGTGGAGGAAATCTCCAGGGCTGCCTCCCAGAATTTCTGTCCTATCTCGAGCTGGCTGCCCAACACAGCTGTCCCCAGGGAGCCTGATACCCATCGTGGGAGAGGCCGGTGGAGTCTGCAGCAAGGAGATCCCTTCCACACTCTGACTGCCCCTCTGTTACTCCTGACTGTGGGATGGGAGTACACTGGAAATAGAGCCTTCCAGAAATACCTGGGACACAACTTCTCTTTACCTTCGGCCTGTCACAGCGCAGGCCTCAGGCTCGGCCAGCGTCATCCAGTGCCTTCCGTTCCACACCACTAGAACCTACCTGCCCCGTTTGCAAGACCTCTCTCTGGAGTGGAATCTTCGCTTACAAAGTTCCATGGCTCAGAGGTGGACACTCCAGGAACTCCAGGTCAGCCTGTGCCCAGTGGTCAGTGTGCATGTGTTTTATTTTGCTTTGTTTTGGTCAGACAGTGTCACATTGTATAGCCCAGGCTGGCTTGAAATTCACAATCCTCCTGCCTCAGCCTACTGAGTGTTGGGATGGCAGAGGGGCATATGCAACAGAGTTATGAGTTAGCCATGTGTGAAGAATACCTGTGTCACGAGGGACTTGGTAGCCTTGTGTCTGGCTCACAGTCATAGCATGCTCCATCTCCTGAGAGAATGCTGGGATCTCTCTGTGCACTTGGTCACCTGCCTCCCCCCACCCCATGTCCTGTGTCTCCCTTTCCTCATCTGCTGGTCTCTGTTTCCACACTTCTAAGTGACCAGTGGTGGCTGGTTCGGACAATTTTCCCTTACTCTCTCCATCTGTCTCCTCCGGGGTCTCCAGAAGTCAGCATGCACACAGCCCAGGCCTCAGCCCCTCTCCATTGTCTACTTTCTTTCCTTTTTTTTTTAAAAGTTTTATTTATTTTATTTATATGAGTACACTGTAGCTGTCCAGACACACCAGAAGAGGGCATCAGATTCCATTACAGATGGTTGTGTGCCACCATGTGGTTGCTGGGAATTGAACTCAGGACTTCTGGAAGAGCAGTCAGTGCTCTTAACCTCTAAGCCATCTCTCCAGCCCCGTTGTCTACTTTCTTGCAAGCTCCAGGCCCAAGGTTGAAAGACCCCTGGAGTCTATTCTCTCTCCTCTCCTCTCCCGTCCCCTCCCGTCCCGTCCCCTCCCCTCCCCTCCCCT